TTATTAAAATAATGGTCTATTGTGCTCAAAAATCTGAAATTAAATAATTAAAAAAAAACAACACACCTATTAGGTGGGCTCAAATAAAAAAAAAAACTGATAGTATCAAGTGCTGACAAAAATATGGAGCAACTGGAACTCTCACACATAGGTGGCTGAGATGCAAAATGGTCGGGATGCAGCCACTCTAGAAAAGTTTAGCAGTTTCTTCAAAAGTTAAGTACACACTTACCATATTACCCAGCCATTTTGCTCCTGGGGATTTGCTCTAAAAAGATGAAAAATTTCGACCACATAAAAACCTATGTACAAATATTTATAGCAGCTTTACTCACAATCTCCCCAAACTGTAAAGAGTCCAATATCCTTCAACAGTGAATATACATAAACTGGGGTATGTCCGGAAGATGGAGTACACTACCCAGCAATAAAAAGAATACACACATGGAAGAACCTCAAAGACGTTGTCTGAGTGAAAGAAGGTAGTCTCAAAGATTGCAAACTATTTAATTTCATTTATGTGACATTCTAGAGAAGGTAAAACTTATCAAGGTGGAAACCAGATCAAAGGTTGCAGCAATTAGGGGAAGAGTGAGGGTTTGACTTACAATGGGCCAGAATGAGGGACGTTTTGGTCCTCTGGTAGTTTTTGGTTTTGTTTTCTGGCTTTTTTTTTTTTTGGTGATGGAAATGCTCTGTAATGTAAAAGGACTGTGATGATGGTTACATGAATTAATCAACTTTAAAACTCAGAATTATACAACAAAAAAGGCCAATTTTACTTTATATAAATTCTAATAATAGTGAATGAAAGTATGAGAGTATGTGACTACTCTAAAACAGAGTTAAAAATAAGAGGGAAAAGTAATAAGAGAACTCGGAATTAAGCTAATGCCTGGAATACATCAATTATTTATTAAAAGAGACTTAGGAGATGTATAAATCAAATACAATGAGTGGGCTTTGTTTTGACCCTGGTTTGAATAAATCAACTGCACATACCTTTTCAGGCAAATGGGGATATTTGAATACAGTATTAGAATCTATAGCAATACCACCCTGAATGCGCCCAATCTCATCTAAATACATTATTGGAAGATATTAAGGATTTTTTGTTCATTGTTAGGAAGGACTGTAGTTTTTTAAACTAAACTTAAAAAAAATCGTACTAAAATAGTGATAAAATGGCACAGTTTCTGGTATTGGCTTCAGAATTCTTCAGAAGTAAGCAAATAAACAAAAACTCAAAAAAAAAAAAACAAAAAAAACAAAGGGAGAAGGGCTAATGGAACAAGTGTGGCAAAGCCAGGATGGTGCATGCATTTCTGATGCTGTGTTGCTTCATGAAGGTTTACTGTAGTCTACTTTTGAGTATGGCTGGAAACATTCATAATAAAACACTGACAGAGAGGGAAAAAAAACAAACAAAAAACCAGTGACTTCGTCTTTGTAAATACTCCCCAAAATGCCATTTAACTGTTTTTTATTCACTTATAAGATACACTACAGTTGACCTTTGAACAATGCCAGGGTTGGGGGCGTGCCAACACCCTGTATTTGAAATATTAGAGTATACCTTCTGACTCCCAAAACTTAACTACTAATAGCTTCATGTTGTCCAGAAACCTTAGTGATAGCATGTGTCAATTAGCACATATTTTGTATGCTGTATGTATTATATACTGTATTCTTACAATAAAGTAAGCTAGAAAAAAGAAAATGTTATTTAGAAAATCTTGAGGAAGAAAAAATACATTTATAACACTGTATTTATTTTTTTAATAAGGCTGCATATAAGCGGACTTACACAGTTCAAACCCATGTTGTTCAAAAGTCAACTGTGATTTCTCCTTATAGTTTTTATTAGGCTTTTATAATCTGTATCTAACTTTATAGAAAACCAAATTGAGGCAGAAAGAGTAATTTAAAACAGGCAGTTGTGATTCTTCTCACAAATAAGGGCTCAATAATGGCATGAGAAATGGCTTAAAGAATATTTTTCAAATCTCATTTAATACTCATAAATTAGTAAAACCAACCTAAGATGTAGAAATATTAATGATTTTCACGAACTTCTCTGCTGCATACTCCTAAGTGCAGGTGACAACAGCAGGAGGAGGTAATTAATACTCAAAAGTTTAAAAACAGATGCAGTAAATATGAACACAAGGAGAATCAGAATAGGAGAAGTTCTTATTTATTCTTTGTCACTCCAATTTATTCTGACATAACTCAAAATATCAGAGTCCCAAAAACACTGTCAACCGACTGGAAATTTCTTTCTTACTGGTGGCCTATTATGTGGAAGATACTATGGGGGAATTAAAAGGGGAAGGTGTGGTTCTCATCTAAACAGAATTAATATATGAGAAAATACTAAATATTTTAGCATGAATTCTGTTTAAAATAGTCTGACAGTGTTTAAGGCTAGTGGGCAAAGACAATTACACAGGCAAAAATGCAGAGAAAATAAAGGTTAAAGAGCTGCAGCAGGAAAAGGCTCCTGCACAGGCAGGAGTGACCCACGGGAAGGGTGGGGCACAGGAGTGGATCAGGGTTCTGACAGCTGTTCAGTGGAGCTCCCAACGATGGGGGACATCTCGCATGCAGGCCTGTCTCCTGTCAACCAGAAGCCTCTCTCCCCAATGCTGAAGGAGAGGCCCCAAGAGTCTCAAGTCACCGCCTCAGCATGGAAGAGCAGAGGCACCACACCCTGGAAATTATTAGCGCCTGGTAGTAACTGACTGTCCCAAATGTCTGACCCTGAAGCGCCTACTGCAGCACAAGGTGAGGTGACTCAATAAAGGCCTCCCAAAGGTCCCCAGGGCCTGTGAACATGTTACCTTGCATGGCATAAGGGACTTGACTGATGTGATTAATGTTAAGGGCCTTAAGACGCAGAAATTATCTTGGATTATCCAAATGGGCCCAATCTAATGAACATGAGTCCTCAAAACTGGAGGAGCTTTCCTGGCTGGGAGCAGAGGGAGAACTGTGACCATGGTGGAAGGGACAAAGGGACGAAATGCTATCTCTCAAGGTGGAGGGAGGGGGCCCGTGAACCAAGGAATGTGGGCAGCCTCTGGAAGTGGGAAAAGGCTAGAAAACAGATACTTCCCAGCATCTCCAAGAGGGGACACAGCCTCACTGATGCCCTGATTTCAGCCCAGTGAGACCCGTGTTGACTTCTGACCTAAAGAACCATAAGACAAGTATCTGCGTTGTTTTAAGCCACGAAGTTGGTGACACCTTGTTCGGGTGGCACTAGGAAACACCTCTCCTAGTCTCTAGGCCTTGGCCTGTGACCCCACCACCCTCTCACTTCACCAATGAAGGGCACTTTCATTCAATTTGAAAGACAAGATATTCCTGGGGCACCTGGGTGACTCAGTCAGTTGAGTGTCAGACTTGATTTCATCTCAGGTCGTGATCCCAGGGTCATGGGATTGAGAACCTTGTCAGGTTCCATGCTGAGCAAGAATCTGCTTAAGATTCTCTCTGTCCCTCTCCCCCATTCACATTCTCTCTCTCTCTCTTTAAAAAAAAAAAAAAGACAAGATATTCCACATACCACATCTCTGCTCAAAGGTCTTTTCCTCTGAAAAGTGCTCCCAAACGTCCTTAACCAGCCCAGGGCAGGTCAGGACCCCCACTCCACACACTCATTCACTCCCACACCTCTCCACCTCAGTGTCTGCCTGACTACAGTTATTCTCCTCCTTCAGAGCTTACATTTACTGAGCAACTACTAAACGCTTAATGCCATGTGAAGGAATTTTCATGGGTTTTCTCATCCAATCCTTCCAACTACCCTATCAGGTAGACATAATTATTATCCCTCATTTTTTAAATTAGAAAAGTCAAAATCACCCAACTAGTAAGGGCAGAGCTGGGATCTGAAGCCAGGTAGTCTGACACAGGAGTTGTTGCCCTTGACCGTAACATTAACATCTGTCTCCTATGTGAGAAATCTAAGTTCCAAGATCCTGTGTACTGATTAACACAACACACCCCAGTGTTCAACACAGAGAAACTTACTAGTTGCTGAATATGAACAAATGGGGACAAAGATGATTTTCCCCTACTATTCTTTTTTTTTTTTTAAAAGAAAATTTCTTATTATCAGAAGTCAAATATATACAGAGGTAGAATAATGGTATAATGATCCCCCAAATACCCAAATCCCAATTTCAACACTTATCAATGTAGGGCCAATCTTAACACCAACATTTAATCAATTCAATGTTACATTATCTAGTAGAAAGAGCCCCCTTTATTACTCTTCTTTTACAGGATTCCATGTTCCTAGTTATCACATGTTCATTTACCTGTGTTAAGACTTTTTAAAAAAACAATCTTGAAATGGGCAAGTCTTTCTAAGCAAAACAAAAAGCAAGGGAACTATAAAGGAGAAATTGATAACTTTTTTCCTATATAATATTTAAATTTTCTGCAGAGCATAAATATTATAAACAAAATACAAAAAGTGAGGGAAACAGGGAGCACCAGGGGGATCAGTCAGTTAAGCATCCGACTCTTGATTTCGGCTCAGGTCATGATCTCAATCGGTTTGTGAGTTTGAGCCCCGTGTCGGGCTCCACACTGACAATTTGGAGCCTGCTTGGGATTTTCTCTCTCTCTCTCTCTCTCTCTCTCTCTCTCTCTCTCTCTCTCCCCCTCCCATGTGTGCACTTACTCTCTCTCTTAAAATAAATAAACATTAAAAAAATTTTTTTAATGGGGGAAACAGCTGTAACATATATGACAAACGATTAGTATGTATTTCCAATGTATAAAGAATTCTTACAAATCAATAAGAAAAAGGCCAATACCACGTTATCTGGAAAAATGGGTACAGGGATGAACAGAGAGTTTCACCTACTAATCTTAAACATGAGAAAAGCAAGGACTTCCAAGTGACACTGTCAAGATACTTCCTCTGGTACTCTAGGATTTAGGAGCAAGACGCACTCCAGAACAAAGGAAAAAACAATTCTTACCTGTAAACTTGTTTCTTCAAAACCTGGTCACCTTGGAGTCCAGCACCATAGTAAGTGTGAGAGCCTACAAAGCTTTTGACTTCAGAATCCTTCCTAATGGGACGCCGGGATAAGTATCCCCACCTCACAGTGTGACCAGTAGCCCATGAACCAGGTGTCCTTCTCTCAGTCCTGCTGGGGGGATGAAGACAAAGATGAGTGAAGAAAAGTTGAGTGTTTCAGAGACAAAGAGCTTAAAAACAAAAGCAAACCACCCAGCCCCTGCTAGATGGCATCTGAAACCCTGGGTCTGGGCCCAAGAAGGAAGGTATTTCCATTCAGTGGGAAAATGTGGTCCACATTTCCCAAGGGTCTTGAACAGAGGAGGGTGTCCACTGACCTGGCAGAAGGATTCAAAGTAGTCAACACCCTTGAGAAATAGCACCCATATCCTCTTCAAGTAAGGAAAATAAGATGAGAAAGAAAAAGGTGTATTCTTAGCCATCAGGCAAAGCCAATTTAGGAATATTGAGCCTCTTGGATGAGGGTTTATGAGTCTTTTGAAATCATAAATTTGTATTAAAAAACAATTCAGGGGCACCTGGGTGGCTTAGTTGGTTAAGTGTCCAACTCTTGATTTTGGCTCAGGTCTTGATCTCATGGTTCATGAGGCCAAGCTCCATGTTGGGCTCTGTGCTGACAGCTTAGAGCCTGCTTGGGATTCTCTCTCTCCCTCTCTCTCTGTCCCTCCCTGCTCACATGCACTCTCTCTCTAAATAAATAAATAAACTTAAAAAAAAATCAAACCACCTCTGAAGTTTACCTGCCAAAAATGGAGAAATGGAACCTAATTAACCTAAGCCTTTAGAACTAACTTCCAGTTTATAGGAAATACAGGGGATAGAGGAGCAAGCTAAACCACACCATACAAAAAGCCAAATAAATCCAGAATGTGAGGCATCTACAGGCAACCAAGGGCCACCAGTAAATCACTGGGGCTGTGATAGACCAGGGTCAACCCTGGTTTAAGACCAGCCTGCCAGTGAAGTTTCAAACAAAAAGTCATGAGGGGCACCTGGGTGGCTCAGTCGCTTGGATATCTGACTTCAGCTCAGGTCATGATCTCACACTCCGTGAGTTCAAGCCCCGCATTGGGCTCTGTGCTGACAGCTCAGGGCCTGGAGCCTGCTTCTGATTCTGTGTCTCCCTCTCTCTCTGCCCCTCCCCCACTCATGCTGTGTCTCTCTCTGTCTCAGAAATAAACATTAAAAAAAATTTTTTTTTTAAGTCATGAAAACAAAAGTATATTGGAATGCACCCATGCTCATTCATATACACACATCATCTATAGCTACCTTTTGGGGATCACACAGTTGGGTAGTTGCAACTGAGACCACATGGCCCTCAAAGCCTAAAGGAGTTAGTATCTGCCCACCCCCTTTTTTTTTTTACAAAGTCTGCTGAACCCCTGTCCTAAATTAAGACACAACAGATATTTGCGGATCTTGTATGGATTCCAATTCACACAAACTAACAGTAAAAGTAAGCACATTTTTGAGGCAATCAAGGAACTTTGTGGACTGGGTCTTAGAAACCATTGTGGAATTATTGCCAATATGATCAGGAGGTGACAACGGTGTTAAGGTTATACAGGAAAAAGCCCTTTTGTTGGAGGCGCATAATGCACTATTTAAGGGTGACCTGATACGGTGTCCGGAATTGAAACTGCTTCCGACAACGAAGAAGATGAAGCAGATGTGGCCAAAGAAACTGCTTTAACAAACTGTCCAATCTATTTGATAGATATGTGGAAGTTCACTGTACTATCCCTCTGCTTTTGCATTTGCTTTAATAAAAAAGTAGAGTCTTCTCTTCAGGCACGTTCCCCCCCCTCCTTCACCCCTTCTTACACAGGGTCCCTCTCTCTCTCTAGGTCTGGTGCTAACAGTTAAGACCCTGGTGAGCAAGGTCAATTAGTCCAAAATATCTCCGAACAAAAATCCACCAATTAAAAATTAATTTAACCTCACAAACTCGGCTTTTGAAATACAAATGTTCTCTACCAGGGTAGTCTGCTTATTCAGGAACTTCTAGCTTCTCTGGGGAGCCAGTTCAGGAAAACAAGGAATTTTGGGAAAATAAGGGCAAACTGCAGGAGCTCCCCATATTAGCATTTCAATAAAGTGAATGAGACCGGGGAGAACAGTCTTCAGTTACAGGAAAAAGTACAGACGGACTGACGGTGTGCGACCTACACCTCATATAGGTCAACCCAGCAGATTTAGAGATGTCCTTTAGTTTTTAACACGTGATTTCTCCCTAGGACAGGTGGCAAAACGAAGTATCTGCTTTTCAAAAACTGGCTGTAAGTCTCAGGAGTTTTCTGATCAGTTCAATATTAACAAAGCAAGCTTGGAGTCAAGAAGGTATGTTGTTTTTCGTTTTTTGTTTTTTGTTTTTTTTTTTTTTAACCACGCGCCTATACAGGGTTTCAAGTGCAGTTACGGAGTTATTTCTGGCCAATACAGTGAAATAGCAATACGCCAGACTTCGGAATCAAGGGAGCAGGAGAAATTCCTCCCTGAGATTCACATGTGTCACTAACAGCTCCAAAGAAACCTAAGGTCATAAACTGACAAATGCCAGAAGTTTTCAGATTGCTCTGGCAGCTTTCAGTTTCCTCACAAACAGGAACCTGTGAAATTAAAAGCAGCATTTTTGAACACGGCTACCTTCGTTCACCTGAGAGATCCTTTTCAAACGACCTCCGGGATAATCATCGCTCTTTGCTTATTAGGAACCGGCAGCGTCCACACCTGCAGGCAGTCCCTAACTTTTCCCGCCCTCGCCCACTCTGACGGGGGCACCCGCGTCACGCCGCGCGCAGCGGCTCTGGGAGCGCGTTTCCCGGTCCGATGTCCCCTCCTCGCCGGCTGGTCCCGCAGGCCGCCCGCGTCCCCTTCACGGCCACGCTCGGTCCCCGGCCTCCCCTCCCCGTCTCCGGCTGCCGCGGGCGCCGCATTCGGCCCGGACGCAACGCGCCCCGCAGGGAACGACGCCCGAGTCCCCAGAGCCCCCGCGCGGAGGGAGCGGGGACAGGGGCCCCGACTCGCCCCGCTTCCAGCGCCTCACCTGCCGCAGAGCGCGGCGCCGTCGGGGAGAGCGGACCAGGCAGCAAGCGGAAATCACCGGCGAGACTGGCGCAGCTGCCCCAGGAGGCCGCCCCCGGCGGCGCCCCCTGGAGGCGGGACGCGGTACCCGCCCGCTCCGACCCCGCCCACACCTGGGCACGCGCCGGGAAGCAAGCCGCCGCCGTGCACACCTGGGGCGCCCCGCCGCGGACGCTATTGTCCTAACGCGTCCCGCCCGGGACCTCGTATCCGGCTTGAGTCTGTGTGGGACCCAGATGCACTTGGGGACACACCACAGCTACACACACAGAAATGAGCCCACACCGGGGAATGCCTCCTGGAGGACGCATGGACACATCACCAAAGCCTCACACTGGAGCATCCACACTCGGCGCTGGTACCATACTGGATGCAGATAATCATATGGTCTTGATACCAATTCTCCCTTTTAAAATAAAACAGTGGGTGTAGGAGACAGTGAAAGAAATGACTTCCCTTCTGTCCTCTGGCTCCTAGAACTAAACTTGAGGCCCAGAAATTAGAAGAGTGAAGACCAAAAGCTGAAGGAGAATTTTTCTCTAGAGATTTTGTTCATTCTGGGTTGAAGCAATGCTACTTTGGGGACCCAGGTGACAAGAGCACAGAGATAGAGGGCCACTTCTGTCACCTCTCCCCAAAGACACAAATACATAAGTAGTTATTGGAATAGCAGTAACCCCCTTAATCATTTTCTGCCCCTTCCACTTTCTCATGTATGTGGACTAGTTGAAATCTTACTACAATTTGATTTTTATTTGAACGATTCCAATAGTATAGATGTGGTCGTGTTTTGAATGGATGTATATAGATTTGCAAAAGAAATCTTTAGGACCAGATTCATAAGCCATAATTTATTTCAAAGAGATTTCTTCCCAAGATTTGTTTTGGGAAGTTCATGATTAAATTAAAATATATTGAAAATCTTGTCTAGCATGTATTTTTAACATCATTTTAAAAGAGTAGCAGTAATCATCTTAATTTTTTTTTTTTAATGAAGAATGATTCTTTTCCTTTTTGAGGGAGGATGATCATGTTGGCAAAGGAAAATGAGCCAAATGCATGAATACATAATTCCTCTGGTGAAGGAAAATTAAAGATGATTACAAGGTGAGTGTTCAATTGCATTTAATGGCAGGTAAGGCTGGAGAGTTTGATTCAACATAGAGTAGGCTCTGTGGGATGAACTCTTCAGCTAACTCTCAAAAAACGACTTATAGACAAATAGTTCAAAGTAGTAGTTTTCAAAATGTGACCTCAGCCCAGCAGTATCAGGAGCACCTAGGAATTTAGAAATGCAAAATCTTAGGTCACACCTGAGATCTTCTGAACCACCAATTCTAGGCGTGGGGCCTAGCATTTTAACTAGTGTTTATTATGCCTTTCAAGTTTGAAAACCATGATTTAGTGAAGAATTGCTCCAGTGTTTCTCAAACAGAATTGTGTATGTGAAACAACTGAAGATCTAGGTTAAAAATGCAGATTCTGGTTCGGGTAGACTGGAGTAGAATCTAGATTCCCAGGATTTACTTGTGTATGGACACACACAGGGACATTGTGTCTGTAAATACAACTGCCCAGCAAAGGGAAGGGTGTGGGCTGCCCTTAGAAAGGTGAAAGTCACCCAGTTTCTCAAGAAAACTGAGTGGTTGGTTACAAGTCCATGGCTTGTCAGTTTAGTATTGGTAAGTTACACAGGAGTGCTTTGCAAGCCAACTGCTCTGGTGGGTTTAGGAACAGAGTGGACTCATTGAGGTTGTCAGGTTGCATCCAAATTGTAGGGTGAGTCACTCACCGAAAAGGGCTCAGCTTACCATCAGCTGTTTCTGTGTTCATTCTGGTCCATTACTTTGCCATCCATAATGTCCCATATCATCCAGGCTGAGGGTCAAGCCTGCAAATCATGTATGTAGGTTTAAAGCTCAGCAGATGTTTCCTTTATCACTCAAATGATTTAAACCAACAAATTATCTTTAATTGGAATTATACAATTTGGCCATTTTTGTTGTCTAAATCCAAGTAGGTGATTTCCAAGCTCTGTTTTCCAGACTTTAACAAGGGAGATAAGATAGATCCCTGCTTTATATTTATATTTGACTAAATGCACTGCTACTTAGTATTATGAGAAAGAGTCCAGCCTCAGTGTCCTTGTGACCCTTCCTGCAAGCCTCCAGCATTGCAAATTCCACACTACAGATAGGAAAACATTTGCATCCCTTGAAACTGTAGGTATAATGTGAAATATATATACTGTAGGCATAACGTGAAATAAATAACAGAACGAGGAGACTATGTGAGGAGCTTGAAATCTAAATAACACTATAAAATCTACTGAAATATTATCAAATTATTCTAGTAAATTAAAAAAAAATCCTCTTTGGCCCCAAATAACCTACAACCTAAATCCAACACTTGTTTTTGTATGGCCCATGACTAATGAGTTTTACATTTTTAAATGCTTGAAAAAAAAAAAAGAAAAAAGAATACTTCATGACATATGAAAACTACATGATACAGTTCAATGTTTATAGTCACGATCATTCGTTCGTGTAGTCTTTGGTTGCCACTGAGACTGTGTGGTCCACAAAACCTAACACCTACCATCTGCCTTTTTACAGAAAGAGTTTGTCTACCTTGCCCTATAGTTTTTTGTTCTGTTACAATACCTACCTCTCTTTCTTGTAATAGTTAATTTATATGACTGACTCCCTCCTGGACTGAGTTTCATGAGAGCAGATTTGTATCCTTTGTCTGAGTTTCCAGCACTTGCCACCATGGTACACAAAATTAGGTATTCAGTAATATTTATTTAAGTGAAGTTTACATTTTGGTCATTTTCCCTATGTAAATCTATATAAACTTACCAAAAAGCCTTTGCGGTTCAACACAGCATCCATTAATTAGGCTAATTTAGAAAATTTGTGTGCAAAAAAAAAATAGAAAAAAATGCATTATGCAAATAATTGGATTCCTTTCTTCCATTTCTAAACCTGACTCTAAAAAAATTGTTGTTAAATTTGAAAGCAGCGGGGTTATTTTTTTGTCTTCTTTTCATTCTGTCAAGTTATTTTACTTGGTACAACAGATCTCACTGCTAAACAATTCCCATGGCAAAGAAATTAACGAACAGAGAAAACCAATCTCATGAAGCTATGTTAATTCACATTAAATTCAATCCTGGTATTTCTAGAATTAATGTTTTAAAGATGATGTGCATTGCTGTCAGATATTTAAAACTAAGGTGTTGACATTTTCTCCACAAAAGAAATGCAGTATATTTTCTAAAAAGTCTATGGACTTCTCAAGGCAATTGCAGTTGAAATGGTTTATGCTATTCTTGCCCATTTTCTGGACTTCTAAGAATAAAAAGCCAAGACTAAATAGATTATATACATAAGATTATTTAGTTTTGGTGAATAATCCCTATTCATGAATAGGAGAATAGTTGTAAGAACTCCCAGAAAAAGTAATATGGCCAATGAAATATGCCATCCACCATGATGGAAGCTAATTACATTGCAAAGAACCATTGTCAGGCCACAAACCAATATCTGACCATGTAATATCACTACCATTGTTCTTCCTAAAATCAGAATCAAGTAATTTGGTTCTGCTCTCCAAACAGTAATTGCATTTAATGGAAAGGAAATAATTGCATTTAAGGGAAATAATGCTTACCTGGTGCCTAGAAATGTAGACATTACAAAATAAAATGTAGCTTGATTCGCTTGAGCTGTCAATGTAGGAAATGAACACATTTTGAGTGCTGTTATGTGCCTCACACAGTATGACTCTTCTCTCGTTTTAGCCCTTGAGCAATAGTATGAAGCAGATATTATCATTTCCATTCTACATATGAAATGGCTCCAAGAGGCTAAACAGCCCACTTAAAGGCATGCTGCCAGAAAACCAGAGTGGCAAGATTTGAACCCATATCCAGGTGAGCCCAGCCCGTGCTCTTTAACAGGAGGGCTAAAACAGGGAAGCTGTGTGGTATACACTGGAATGTATGTCATCTGGACTAATAGTTTCTTTTATATTTGAACCTTGGGGTTAGAATGACTGATTTTGATGACCAGCCCCATACATGTAGTTCTACCCATGAAGAGGTTTCATATACATTATATTTAAGGCTTACTCCTGTGCTGTATGGTAAAGACCTGGTAGAGAATTTCTTCCACTTTACAGATGAAATAGAGAGGTTACATTGCTTGCCCATTCTTACTGATGATTTCAAATAGCAGCTCTTTTTTTTTTTTTTTTTTTTTTTTTGAGTAGGCTTCAAGCCCAGCATGGAGACCAACACCAGGCTTGAAGTCACAACCCTGAGATCAAGACCTGAGCTGAGATCATGAGTCAGACGCTTAACACAGTGAACCACCCAGGCACCCCAAATAGCAACATTTTTTAATAGTCAGTGCTCTTCAGAACAAGATTTCTCAGTAAGAAAACAGCAGTCAGCCACTGAAGGGGAGTATTTGACATGGACTTCAGTGTGTCCATGGGAGGAATATGGTTTCCTGCTCACTTTGCAGCTAGCCTAATCTGTGCTATCTTGGCATGATGAGTGGCAGAGGAGAAGTTTCTATTTTCAGTCCAAGATACTTTTTAATTTCAAAATATTTTGAAGGACTAGAAGCCTTGAAAACATTTTATTTCCACAAAGGTGTTGGCATTTCAAACATTGTTACATTTCACGGCAATTTTTTTAATGACCATTTATATCAGCACTCACAGCATCTCACTTTTATAACTTTTTAAAAAAGTATTTATGTTTATTTATTTATTTTTGAGAGAGTGAGAGAGAACAAGCAGGGGAGAGGCAGAGAGAAGGAGAGATAGAATCCCAAGCAGGCTTCGCACCATCAGCACAGAGCCCAACACGGGGCTCGAACTCCTGAACTGCGAGATTATGACCTGAGCTGAGATCAAGAGTC